CCCCAACCCAGCTCATACTTGTGATGTAAATTATGTCAATATTTAGGATCTCTGCTTCTGGTACATTCCAGCCAAATACTTAGTTTGTTTGACACGCAATTACAGTGTGGGCAGTTCTTATTTCTGCTCTTAATATTCTGAATATTATGTTAAAATATATAGGCCAGATACAGTACTCTTATGTATTTTTCATTCAAGCTGTTGAATCTTTATAGCAGTGATCTTTAAAGGTATTAAAAAAATGAACCAACCAAAACACAAAACCAAAAATCCACTTCGGTAGTTATACCAATACCACGATATCCTAAGTCTATGTGGTATTCTAAACCTGTGACGTTAAGATATTGAAATACCTCGGAGAGCTTAAAACTTTTATCGTGACCATATTATTTCTAGTAACTTGGCAATCTGTGTGCTCATCTGTAGCTTCTTTTAGTTTTGTTTGTAATATGTAGTATCTCCTTATGTTTTATATGCAGTTAATACCGTATTCTAGAAAGGTAAATATTTTTTTTAAAGAAGCTTATGAATGGAAATCTGACCAGAAAGTTAGTTGAATTATGTTACTTTGCAAAGCTAAGAAAACTGGATATCACTGGAAATAGTTATCCAAAAGCCTTATCTTTACTTTGGTCAGGTTGCCTTAAACAGTTGCTTAGCTTAAACTTCTTTTTTTCTTACTTTTTTGTAGAATATGTTGCCAAAGTTTTAGACCTTGCCCACACCTAACCTTCATTGATTTGCTTTTGAGATTGCATCTAAAGCAAGACTGATATGGAGGAGAAAAGTAATATCCTATTTGGTAGGCCGAATGAAATGGTTGAGACACTTCTATTTCTCTCTAGAAATACACGGTTCCTGCTATGAAAGGCATTCCTAGAGCAGTTAAACACTCCTGTTGCAGTTCCTGAAGAAGAGGAGAGACTCTTAACTCTTAAAAAAAGCAGTTTTATTTTTCTATAATCTAGGTGTGTTACAGATAGTGCACTGGGTTTTTTTTATTGAACTTGGGTGACAGTAATAAGTCATAAATGAGTGTTCAACCTTATTTGGTCAATCCAAATAAGTATTGACGAGAAAACAATATATTGTATATATAGTGACTACTTAGAATTGAAATAATGATTTTAAAAATGGGCTTTAATGTACTTGAAATCTTATTTTGTCCTATCTGATTTTAATGTTTTGCAGAGACACAGTCCATTCTGGGTAAATAGCTAGAAACGGTACAGTTACTGACAAAACTCCTTTTAAATACACTGCTTAAATATGTGAGACTGGGCTGTTCAGGACACAAAGCACCTGCATGCAATTTGTGTTGGGATATCTAGGGTCTACATGCTTGGAGGTAGCTAGCAAATTGTAGTAAACTTACTGAAAGGCCTGTTGTTCTCACCAGGCCAGGAGTGGGTATGGAAGGACACTATATATTCATATAACAGTTTAACTCTGTGCAAATTGCAGCTTTTCTGTGGATTTAGCGAATCATCACTGAAATAGAACTATCTGTTTCTATATTAATTATTTTTTTTTTCTCCCCTCGTAGGAGAATCTCCTACACTGTAAATGTCAAAATTATTTTTTATGTTAGATTGTGCCTGTGATGAGAAAAATTTCAACTGTATTTTGTGTAAACTAGTAAGTTTTTATACTTTGGAACTCGGAGGCATGGTCTAATAGCAATAATGGAATATGCATCTTGCTAGTTAATAAGTTAAGACTATCTTTACGGGGTCAGGTATTTTTGTTGATGTTGATGCAGTTTTTATCTCAATATGACTCATTTCAAATAAATAACTAGAATTTTTAGATGTCACAAGGTGGCATATTTATTGTGACGTACTGTAAATGTTGTTAATTTACAGAACTTGCACTTTTATATTTCTGAGTAAAATTAAACGAAACGTGGACATGAGTTTTGTTCCCTTGCTCCTCGAATTTGTCTTGTAATTGGTGGCCTCCTGAACAAGATGATATCAAGTATTGGGAAAACTTCTGGGATGTGAAGTGACTCCGTGACAAAGTTTTCTAGTCAGCAATTACCTCAGCCTTTGTTCTTCCAGTATAATTATAGTCTCCTGGTTTAGACAGTGAGTTACATGTGTCATGTTGAGATCAATCGTAGAGTGAACAAGGTTTAAGATGTGTTTTTAAGACATCAAATTTACTTGTTCTTCATTAAAGAAAAAGAACCACACACAGTTGTATTTGTTGTATTCCTACACCTTTGAAAAATGTTTCTAATTTCCTCTAAAGCAAGCACTTTAATTTCTTCTCTCTCTGACATTGAATGCTTGTTTCATATTCTAGTCATGCTTTATCTTAAATAAAATTCCCCAAATGTTGTATTCAATTGCTTTTCAATTTACAACAATCTGATTGTCTTGTGTTTAAAAAAAAAAAAAAAAAAAAAAAAAAGGGCGTAGGGCTATACGTGGTGTTACGAGAGTGCTAATTGAGCCTGTCAGTGGGGTGAAAGCAAGGTAGCCTATAAACGACACTCAAAATTCCCTTTCCAGTCATCATTACAAAATACTAACAATGGTAGACATCACTTTCATGAAAAAGTATGCAATCCCAAACAAGTATTATTAAACCTAATGTAAAGAAGTAAATGAATACTTAGCCGTCCTTTAAGGCAATTGGGCAGCACTCCTGTGGCATCGGAGCAGCACTCCTGGGCTCTGCAGGCAGCCTGGAACACCAACAGTAAACTCCACTGAAATTTAGGTGTGGGAAATACAGGTATATTGACTCTGATCATCCTTCATCCTGAAGGAACTGCATGGCAAATTATTTTATATAAATTATTTTAGAAAAGAAAAGGCAGGAAAGGAAATTGCTTCTTATCAATACTTGTAAATATTTAGAGAGTGCCAGGTAGATGAGAACAGTCTTTTTTCAGCAGTGCCCAGTGATAAGACAGGAGGTAATGGGCACAAACTTGAACGTAGAAAGTTCCATCTAAACATGAGGTTGGAGGGTGGCAGAGCACTGGAACAGGCTGCCCAGAGAGGTGGTGAAGTCTTTGACTCTGGAGACATTCAAAACCCACCTGGACGCTGTCCTGTGCAACCTGCTGTAGGTGACCCTGCTCTGGCAGGGGGGTTGGACTAGATGACCTCCAGAGGTCCCTTCCAACCCTAACCATTCTGTGATTCTCTGCTAATTACAGTTTGGGTAGATGCTTATACAATATTGTCTTGCATTCTGGTGTTTTGAGGTGATCTAGAAAGTACTACTTCAAAGACTACTTTTGTCTGGAAAAGTTTACTTATAGAAGGTGGAAGTTCTGGTTCATTTTGGCCAATAAACAATTAAAATATGGTATTCTATACAGAGATTGAGAAAGCATGAGAACTTGCTGTTTCTACACTGAGTTATCTGTATCTATATACAATACTCTTAATTTATGCCAAAGCAAATTCTTGTATGAAATAGCTGGTGTTCAAGATGCACTGGAAAAAAGATGGGGTTCTTTTACAAAAGGCTTAAGTTCGTCACAATGTTACAAATCTGTATTTTCCCTGAACTTCAGAACTTGTTCAATTAAAGTTATAGAAGTGTGCCTTTGTTAATAGATGTCAAAAAATGATATTCCCACTCCCCGACCCTATCCCTGTTTCTTACGAGAGTAAGAAATTGAACTTGAGGCAGGCTTTCCAGAGTTAAAATACCGAATTATTTCTATTTTTGACCACTTTTTTTTTAATGTATGTTTGGACCCCAAAAGTGGACCTGGCATCAGTAACCCAGGGTAGGTGCATATCAGAGTTGCATATTGCCTCCCTGCTTCTGCTCAGAATCTCTTTGCTTAATTACCTGAAATTTTCCTGACCTATTTAGCCCCTGTCTTTTAACCACCAGTGTGTGGTAGCCGTGGGGAGCTCATGTTCAGTTGTCTTTTTCATTGCTGCTTTTTCCAAAATGCTGTTTATTTTTTGATGTGACTTCTTCCAAGACGGTGTTCCAATCAAGTAGTCTGTTAAGCTCAGCAGGACTGGCTGGTCCTTGGTGGTGGTCAGTCATTTTTTGGCAAGCCATGCTTATCTATAGGAGATGCCCAGAAGGGCTCCCAGGGGGAGAAGTTTAGGGGG